TGTCCAGCACATCAGCATTATTTACAGGCTAACAAGTAACGTTACTGTTTAAATTAAAATACTTCTGTGAGCCAACCTGCAACTAAAGTCTTATCTAATTTGGAGTATACAGCAGATTTCATTATAGGTATACCCGCCCTCAAAATAATGTTGAATCAGTTCGTCTCTTATGAAAACTATTAAGGAATCAAATATTGTAAATAATCTATTATTTACATTCCGTTCTGTGGGATATCGTGCAGGGGCAGACAGAAATATTACATAGCCTATAGACCTAAAGTCAGGCTGTTAATGAGTAAAGTTACGTCTAGAGTAACTAAGTTATCGAGAAAAAACAATCTACCCTAACAAAAGTCTATTTTGTTAGTTTATTTATGTAACCAAAATGGTATTATTTCATATAAACGTTACTTAACAGATGTCAGGATATTATTTCTTCTTTCAATTGGAGTTTGGCGAAACTGCAAAAAGGAATACATGTACATCTTCTAGTTCTATTGCTAAAATGAGAGTCAGGCATGGTGGATCGATCGAACAAGGACATGTACATGTGAAACGATCAAGGGTCAAATTTAAAAATACCACTGCGCAATCGTGACAAAAAAAAACACGGGAGACGTACGACGGGCGACGCACGACGGAAAATGGCATGTTTGGAACAGGTAAATGGCAGAATTGAGACACAACAAAAAGCAAAATGCGACGCACGACGGGCGACGGCAAATATAGAATTCCATAAAATATGGAAGGGCTGCGTAGCACCGTGATCAGAATATTGACAAGAATATAATATAAAATCAGTGCGTTGAAACATGAGAGCACTGATTTTATATCATTCTTGTCAAAATACGAAAAAACACGCCCTCTTTTGTTCCCGTCGGAGCGGATAATGGAGATCAATGCTCACCCCATTGGTGCGCCATTAGGCGCGCAAGCATATGCGCGTTTGGCACGAAGCACGCTGAGTATACGCGTCACTAATTTATTCTGGCATGTATGGTCTTTGGCCGAGTTCGGGCGGCTTGTTCTCGTTTGTTCACGAACAGCTCGATTTGTTGTTCGTGGGTCGGTCGCTCGAACGCCAGGAATGTACAACCGGTAATTACTGCTAGTAGTTATTTGTGGCAAGCAACATGCACCATGGCAGCGTCCTTGTGCATTCTTCGAGAGTTAATGTTGGATAACTGGGCTTACTTCTTTTCCATTCAAAAAATTCATTTCTGTCATGGTCATATTAATTTTGCAAAACTTTCCATTGTCTTCGGCTTTTTAAAGTCATATCGGTACTTTTTGCGGCTGTTCAAAAATCAAATCTCACGAGTTTTTCCGTGTATTCGTGTGAAATCCTGACGAGGAGGTGGTGTGTGATCCTGTTCGGAGAACAGTGTTCTTTGGTCGTGTTCCCGCCGTTCGAGCGCGAGAACACGAAACCCGTGTCAAGAACGGACCGCCCGAACTCGACCTCTGTGTACACGCAGAACGCGTGCAAGAACCCGCTTGTAACCAAAGACTGTATAGCGCCGATGCCCGGCGCTATTGTAACCACTTGTCTTTGTTTCCCCGACTTGGGGTGCAGTTCAGCTTCGGGGTAGATTCACAGTGAAGTTCTCCTTCTAGCACCGCTACACTATAAAATCTTTGCTAAAAAG